ATGAGGTTACGTGTTTCAAAAAATTCATATTTTGCTAAATAACATAGAGTTAAATACTACTACTATTATAATTTTCTACACCACAAATATTTTTGTATTTTACTCCTTAAAATCTTTCCAAAGGACATTTTCCCGATATTTTTATTCGTAAATAGATTGTTCATCTACTGTATTACTTTGTTATTTATTTTTTTCTACTTTTTAACATACGAGTAGGTCAAATATTTCTCATCTCAGGAGTCGGAGCTTCTAGCTAGATCCCTGAGGTACCCCGTTTAATTAGACTACTGTCAGCTTACTTGTATTTTTATGAGCTTTCAAAAATGGATCCGGTTTATAGACTTCACTTTGATATATTTTTACAGGAAGTTTGGTTTACTTTTGATAAATTCTTTTTTAATAAAGGAAAACTATATCTTTAAAGGGCATTTGTAGTTCCTATGAGCCTTTGTTTGAACTTCGGTCTGTATTAGTAGTTTCCTTTATCTAAATATGCTATTCAAAACTTTAAACATAAATTAAATTCTAGAACGTGTACACCAAACCTTAGCAAAGGCTTTAGTAGTTCCCAGTAAGGTTGCAGAAGAATAGTTTTCTTGTTTGATGAACATTTACCTGTACAAATTCTTTAGATACAACAGACAACAGACTTATTGGAATTGTATGTTTTTCTGTTGTTAAAGTTTTGAACCATATTTTAGCACAATACTTTACTAGTAACTTGTAGAATGTCACATTTTACATTTTATTTCCGAAATAAGAAAACTAAAAAGAAGGTAACAAGTTTAATCCGGATCCGTTATTAATTTTATATTATGCTTTTAAAATTAGAAAATATTTTTTAACCAAAAAAAATTAACTCATAGTAAAAAAGGTGCTTCTTTTTTTGTCTATTGAGATGTTTTATGTTTGTTTTATTTTTAATATTGATTTGTATTACTCTAGAATTACAATGTTTGCTATTTTTTTTTATTTTATCTATGATTTATATACATTATATTAATATACCATTCAATTATTTTATGATATAACATTTGTAATTTTTTTCAAAATAAGGTTTTAAAAAATGTAGCACACTTTATTTTATTATATAATATTACTGTAGCATTAGGTCAAATAAATTGATGTTATAACAAATTTAATAATAAAACATACTATTTTAAATATTCTCATATATTTTTTGATTTTTAACACATCAATTTACCATTGTTATTAATAGGTTTATTCATATGGGATGTTTTGTTTTTTCTTGACACGTAGAACTTAAGAATGTGTTTACTTTTTAGTTTAGTTTATGTTAAAATATAATAGGTGAGAAAATATTCTTGTTTTTTTGTTTACCTTCAATATCCTTACACACAAGTATAGCTCAAAAAGCTATTCAAGTAATCTGAAACTTTTTTTGGTAACACGAATATATACCGTGTCCTTCATACCAAAAAATTAAAGGCATCAGAAATATATCCATCCCAATTTATCACGTGGAAAACCTGTATATACAGGGTGTCTCATTAGTGCGTAACTCCTCAATACTTCACTTTGTGTTATATTTGTGTTAAATAAAAGTTATATGAATTTCAAAAAAAATACGTATTTTAAAAATATTTTTGGATATACAGAGTGTTGCGTATTCGCCTGGCAAATAAAAATGTATATTTTTTATACAGAAAACCCTGTATTTTATTTTAGTTTTAGAATGGCTTTTTTATGAAATTACAGAAGGATGCAGATCCCGAATTAAATTATCATAATTTAGGTAGGTTTACAAATTATTTAAAATTGTTTAAAATTGTTTAAAATTGTTTAAAATTGTTTAAAATTGTTTAAAATTGTTTAAAATTGTTTAAAATTGTTTAAAATTGTTTGTTTAAAATTGTTTAAAATTGTTTAAAATTGTTTAAAATTGTTTAAAATTGTTTAAAATTTTTTAAAATTGTTTAAAATTGTTTAAAATTGTTTAAAATTGTTTAAAATTGTTTAAAATTGTTTAAAATTGTTTAATATTGTTTAAAATTGTTTAAAATTGTTTAAAATTATTTAAAATTGTTTAAAATTGTTTAAAATTGTTTAAAATTGTTTAAAATTGTTTAAAATTGTTTAAAATTGTTTAAAATTGTTTAAAATTGTTTAAAATTGTTTAAAATTGTTTAAAATTGTTTAAAATTGTTTAAAAGTGTTTAAAATTGTTTAAAATTGTTTAAAATTGTTTAAAATTGTTTAAAATTGTTTAAAATTGTTTAAAATTGTTTAAAATTGTTTAAAATTGTTTAATATTGTTTAAAATTGTTTAAAATTGTTTAAAATTGTTTAAAATTGTTTAAAATTGTTTAAAATTATTTAAAATTGTTTAAAATTGTTTAAAATTGTTTAAAATTGGTTAAAATTGTTTAAAATTGTTTAATATTGTTAAGAATTATTAAAAATTATTTAAAATACAGACTTATAAGATACTAAGCTAACGAATCGTGGTGATAGAACTGGATTATTTTATACATAATGTTTTAAAACATGTATATATTTTTTATATAATTAAAAATTTCCTTGGTTTATTCGGTCGTTTGTATTTTCTACTGTTTAGCACAGCACTACATATGTCTTGGAAAACTTCTCCATATTCGGGTGCAATCAAAATAAAAACAAAAAACATGGGGACGATTACAAACAAATTAATTTTTTTTTAAAATAATAGATACCCCATCTTTCTGTTTCAGCGTGTGAAGGTCTTTTTTTAAATTTTGATTGCATCCGAAGATGGAAAAGTTTTCCGAAACATCTGTAGGACTGTGCTAAAAATAAAAAATAAAAACGACCGAATAAACCAAGGAAATTTTTATTTATACAAAATTCTGCTACGGTCAAGAAATTATTCTTATTCAAATATCTTTTTAGTTTTATAACCCTTCGGACCCTCCCATCTGTAGCCTGGTGGCACTGCAGCCTGCGGCTTATTGCACCACCAGTCTCATGGTAACACGGCCCAGCGGTTACGCATCCACAACGTGATCAGAAAGATCACTGCTTAACTGTTGCGAGAATGTAATATATGTAATACAGCTAATTTTCAAATAAATCACCCTGTATATTATTTTACTATAAAGTTCCTTTTAAATTTACTTATCCAATGAAACCAATGTGTTAGCCAATGACACATATACAGGGTGTCCCATCAGTGCGGAATTAATCAATAGCTTTAATATTGGAAATAAGAAAAAATATATATAATAGTTGTATAACCAAATTTAACAATTATTCTTAAATATACCAAACATATATATTTTTAAAGAAGAACACCCTGCAGGTAGCTATACATATTTGAATCTTTTCACATCGTCAAACAATTTTAATAGACTTCTTTCATTTGGTATGTCAAAATTGAAGGTTACGATCTTCTCAATTTTTTTTTAATCGAATAACTTGTATGTTATAGCACTAATTAATTATTACAGGAGATTTCATTTAAAAAATAATAAAATGGTAACCTCGCATTTTGACACACCCTATATGCAACATAGCAAATGAACGAAGTCAATTAAAATTGACGATGTTCAAAAAATCAAATATGCATAAATACCTGCAGGGTGTTTTGCTGTAGATTTGGTCAGCACCTCATTTATGGTCCACCCTGTAGATTTAAGAATATTGTCATACAACTTTTATAATAAAAGTGTGTTCGTATTTCCAATAATAAAACAGCTATCGATCGATTACGCACTGATGGGACACCCTGTATATCTGTTCTTTGCTAATATGTTGGTATTGTTTGATAGGCAAATTTATAAGAAATTTTATGCTAAAATAATATACAGGGTGTTGCATATGAAACAACTGAGTAAATTGAACTTTTAATTATCCGAATTTAGTTTGTTTCAAAACACTCTGTATAAAATAAACCAGTTCTATCACTACTATTCCTCTTGTAAGTCTGTACAATTTTGAAATCAATGTAAATCTACCTTAATTATGATAATTTAATTTGGGGTCTGCATCATTTTTTAATTTCATAAAAAAATTATTTGCTTGGCAACCCTGTAATATTTAAGAAAAATGTAGGGTTGAATACAGTATTACTAAGAAAATCTAAAAATTAGATAAAATACAGGGCGTTCTATTTAAAAAATATACATTTTTATTTGCCAGTCAAAAATGTTGTCCATATAACTTTTATTTGAAACTTGTTTGCGTGTCTATAACACAAATTGAAATGTTGAACAACTACGCACTAATGAGACACTCTGTATAATATAGCCTTTCGCCTCAATGAGGTTTAGGTTTAATGGTGCAGGTAAGGCAAATGATTATGTCACTAATATTTTTATCACATTTATATTTTTGTGTAAATAAGTATTCCAGATAATAATTATGACACTAAACATTAAATACAACAGATAAATTTAATGAAGTAAAACAATATTACATGCAAGAAACATAATTATGAATTTTCCACAAGGATCCATTCTGCGCCTGTTAATTTCCATCCTATATGTAAATAATTTCTACTCCTTTTAATACATACACAAATAACTAATCCATGATCGGTGCCGCTTCAGTTTGGTAAATATGCCTACTTTATAACCTTAATCTAATTTTAAAAAACAATTTTTTAGATGCCTGTCCGAACTGTGGCAAAACTTACAAAGCAAGAACGTCTTTAATGAGACACATAAAATACTTTTGCGGCAGAAAATCTCCGCCGATAACCGGATATACTAAGATAAATGACACCACGTTTGAGTGCGACACCTGTCATCGCCAGTATCAATCTTCTGCTACCTGTAAACGCCACATCAAGCACGAATGTCAAAAGGAATCTACGCTATCGTGTCCTATAGAATATTGCGATTATAGATCAAATTATAAATATAGGATTAAAATCCATTGTAGAATGGTGCACAAATTAAATGTTTAGTTAAACGTTTTGGTGGTATTTTATTTTTATCATAGTCATTTTAGTTTCTAATAGGATAGGAAATTTTGTTCCTCAGGGATCGTATCCGAGTCCTATGCTGTTTAATTTGTTTATTAACGATATTGTTGATATGAATTTAAAGCCAAAGTAAGTACTGGTTGAAGTAGTAATAAATCTTGTTAATATCCGAAAGTAACTTTGGAGCCAAAACCTTTATTTCAAGGTATATAAAATTGGCTGTAAGTGTCTGTGTTTAGTCGACTAAACAAATTAACGATAATATCTATTGTTTTAGCTAAGTATTTTTGCGATGTATGCAATAAAGGATATGTCAAGAAAAATTCATTAGACTCCCATAAAACGAGATACTGTGGAAAGGATCCAAGCTTCTTCTGTCCTCACATAAATTGCAATTATAAAACACATTTATCTACAAATTTGAAACGACATTGTATTGGAAAACACGGTTATATATAAATAGATTTTTCTGTACAAATATACTGCTTATCACTGAATCACTTCGTACCTATAAAAAAACACTAAACTTCCAATTCTTACCTACAAAATCTTAATAGTTTGCTTGGCAGTGGTAAATAAGAGATTTGAAAGCTCTTTTCAGCAGTCTTGTAGTTTTAGGAAAACAAATTTCCCACAGATGTATGACATGTTATCAAAAGTTGACTGGCAATTTTTAGAAGCGTTTCACGACCCCAATGATGCTTGCTTCTATTTTTACGGAAAATTATACAACATATTCGACTCGTGTGTACCAAAATTTTCCATACCCTCTGAAACGAAATATCCGTCATGGTTTGATGGTAATATTATTCGAAATATTCATTAAAAAGGACAAAATTGGCGTAAATATAAATCTGTACATTGCAGAAAATATTGACAAGAGAATCCAGACGCTTGTAATAAAAACCGACTTTTCCAAAGCGTTCGATCGGCTTGATCATGGTATCATGTTAAATAAACTTTCATGGTGTGGTTTTACCCAATCACTGTTAAATTTATTTAAGTCTCTTTCGACAGAAAGCAATATGTTTAGATTAACGTTTTCAAGTCGACTCAATATCTGGTAACTTCCGGTGTTCCGCAAGGTTCTAATTTAGGTCCTTTGTTATTTAACATATTTATAAATGATATTGGCAATATTTTAGATACAGATATAAACTTTCTTCTATACGCCGATGATTTAAAGTTCTGTCATGTCGAAACGGTTGAGGACTGTGAAAGGCTTTCAGATAATCTGCGACGTGTTGAGGAGTGGTGTCTCAATAACAACCTTCCTCTTAACTCCTCTAAATGTTTTGTAATTTCTTATACCTTGAATCAATTCCCCTTAACTTTTAACTATAGCGTTAACAACACGATTCTCCAAAGACCGGTTACCATCACAGATCTTGGAATTACTTTTGATCCCACTTTATCAATGAATAACCTTATAGAATCAATAGTATTAGCATCTTACACAATGTATGGATTTATCGTTAGTAACAGTCGTGATTTTAAGGAAGCATCAAAATGGCCGTGCCCTATGTTGGGCGTGTCGGACCTCTCTCTTGCACCGTATAGTAATCAAAGTATGTGGTTTTGGGGGAAATGCAAATAAACTGTTCTCACATACTTTGATTTTCTTTTACTATACGGAGAATGGTCGCACTGCGCAGCTTTCTGAGTGCCTTTTAAAAGGAGATAGAAAACTCCGCTTTTTGAACCCTTATTACGTGTTGCCTACATCTTGGCGCAATATTTTTAATAGGTGCGTTTTAATCATCCGCTTCTGCTTTGGAATTGTCGGTTTTCTTGTTTTAATCTGACAGGTTAAAACGACTAAACCGACAATTCCGGAAGCAGAAGCGGATGAATAAAACGCACCTTATATTTTGCTTGCTGCTGTCAGTGTCAGTGAATATTATTTTTGGAGTCATAGTTTATTGCTAAAGAATCAGTTAGCTCACTCGGACCAGTTCAAAGTTCCAAAATAACATCCACTCCAGGGATACAAATTCAGGATACGCAGAAGACTGCTGTTTTATTATAGGCGGTTGTCATATTGTATTATCCGAGTTGCGCAGTGTAGAAACTAGAACATTGAGATCAAAAGTGCCGTCGCAGAGTGAGCAATCTGATTCTTTAGCTATAAACTGTTGCATAGGAATAAAAATGGCAGCGCCCTATGTTGGGCGTGTTGGACCTCTCTCTTGTACCGTATAGTAATCAAAGTATGTGACTGTTATCTTTATGGTTTTGTCAATAAAATGACGGATATGCAACTAATAATACAATAAAGTAATATTGGTTGCCTAGATATCAGTAATGTTTTACCAAAACACGATTTTATAAATAATTACTCAAAATTGGAAAAAATATTGTATGCAACACGTTACGAAATGCCAAATAATCGATTAATTGAATATAAATCAATTAATCTTAAATCGAATAATCGAAAATAATCGATTACTTGATTAATCGATTTTAAAAAATCGACCATTCGAATAATCGATTATTTTGCCCACCCCCTAGTTGAAGGTACACTGAATATTTTTAAGCTATTGCGTAGCTTTTATCGCGGGCTTTGAGCGCGGCGACCGAATCAAGAAAAAAAAAAACGAAACCGTAGCGAAAAAAACCTAACATCCCCCACTCCGACCGGCACAGCGGTACGGCATTAAACAATGTTAACTTCTCATTTATTCAATAAAAGAAAATCGAAAAATCGCTCAAAAAGTGTAACTTTAATTAATGTCAAAGAAGAAAAAATACTGCATAAATAAAATAAATAAATAATTATAATTGCATAAGTTGATAAAAAATGCTATGCAATAGCTTTACCGCGACAGTCCTCGAGTGCCACACGTATTTTTTTAATTAATATGTTTGCTCTAAAAATCTGACAGGATAATTTTGTTTGTAGGTTTAAAATTGGACAAGCTTCACAAATGTCCCAACTGTTTACGAACATATTTGCACATCGGTTCGCTGAGGCGTCATTTTAAAAGCGAATGCGGCAAAAGGGCCAACGACAAATGCCCGTTTTGCGACAAGATTTTTAAGCACAAGCGCCATTTACAAAGACATATAAAACACTTTTGCCGAGCTCCGCTCACGACTGGATACACTGAGGTGGATGACACCACGTTCGAGTGCGACACCTGTAATCGTCAGTATCAAACTGCTGCTACTTGTAGACGTCACATTATACATGAATGTCAAAAATAATCTGCAATGAAATGTCCCGTTTAGAATTGCGAATATAGTTCCACCTGTAATTACAGGGTAAAAGTCCATTGTCGGATGGTACACAAATTAGACATTGAATAAATGTCCTGATATATGAAATATATTTTGTTCTCTAATAGCTTTTTTAAACTTAGAATGTAGACCTTATGAAGTTATTAAATAAATTTACAAAATAGAATCTGTTATTTTAGCTACTCATTTTTGCGATGTATGTAATAAAGGATACGCCAAGAAAAAATCCCTGGACTCCCATAAATCCAGGTACTGTGGAAAGGAACCAAGCTTTGTGTGCATTTATGAAAATTGTGATTATAAATCACATTTATCAGGAAATTTGAAACGACATTGTCTTGGAAAACACAATGTAATTTTATAAGTAAATATATTTTTATCGATACAATTTGCTTACTATTGGACCCTAAACAAACAATTATATTTGTTTCCTAATCTTGTCCATTGTCTTTATCCAAACACAAAAATATAGAACCGGAGTCTAGCTAAGCTAACTCAACTTAATCTCTAGAAATTAAAGGCCATTTACATTCGATAATGTCCTTCTATGCTAATTTATTTATTGTTTTATGATAATTTCGAGAATTTTCGTAGCAACCTTAAGAGTTTCTATGGTAACCTCGCGAGTATCTACAGTAACCTCGAGAGTTTTTATAGTAACCTTAAGAGTTTCTATAGTAACCTCGAGAGTTTCCATATTACCCTCGAGAGTGTCTATAGTAACCTCGAGAGCTTTCATATTAACCTCGTGTTGCATGACAACCTGGTGAGTATGTGACGGCCCACCCCCTGTCCCCCCTTCTTTTGATTTTGTTGATCGTTATTTTATTTTACTCTCTTTAAAATGTTATTATTTACCTCAAGTTTTACTTTAAATTCTATACTTACTGTAATTGGCCTTTTTTCCTCTAGTAGTAAAAGTGATCGTCTAGTTAATTAATGTTTACATTCTTATTTAGGTTGATGACCAACGGAGTAAACGAACAGCGCCAATTCGCCAGTTGGTTAACTACTGGGTTGATGTTGATTTGATTCTATTTTAGATATACACAGGTTGTACTCTCTTAGGTAAATATTTCGACGCGTATAGAGGTGATGACCAACGGAAGTAACGAACAGCGCCAATTCGCCAGTTGATTACTTTACTATGTTGATGTCACATATACTTTGTTTCAAACCTAGTAGAACGGGTTGCTTAGCGTATAGGTGTCCCCCCTTGAGCTAACGAACAGCGTATTCGCCAGTTGGTTAACTTACTATTAAACTTTACCATCTTGGTTTGCACAATTTATCCAAGATAGCACATCCCTGTATATTTCTAAAATATTGATTTTTATAATTTCTATTGAATTAACTTAATACAACCCTGTATATTTTTTATATTTATTATTATAATTTCTGTTGAAATTATTTAATACAACCCTGTATATTTGTTTATATTATTATAATTTCTATTGAAATACTCAAAATATCACCCATCGAAATAGATGTCTATCCTGTCTTTCGGGGTTTATGACTTGAAGGCCATGTGGTTTATTGGTAAAATTGATAATATTTTGTAGTAAATGTCAAGCCGCCCTTAAACGAAACCTCGATGGTATCTCAAAGAAAGTTACAAAAATCTTTTGACTCACCATTGAAAATACAGACATTAGATTATGTACTAATTTCGTCTAGCGTTGTGACGGCGTCGATTTAGGTACGTCGCAGCGTTGAGCGTCGAGGCGCCTAGCGTCGTGGTGAAAAGGAAGGTATTTAATACGGTACTGTATTGGGACAGATATACGGAAGAATTATGTAGGTGGTGCGGGACGTGATATTATGAAGGAAATATTTAGGGATGGCAAGCGTCGGAAATAAGACGTGGGACGTTGAGCGTCGAAATAAGTGTACGGTAGGAAATACTTAGATGGCAAGGAATGTGACAGCATCCGAGACGTAGGGAGTAGGACGGCAGGACGTTGGGCGTCGAGACGTTGACACCTTCGGGGATAGGAGGTATTGTAGGATAGACGTCGTTTGGGAAGAACGTTTTAGGAAAGGTACTGACTACTGAACTTGAAATATAACTGGATACAAATAATAAATGAATGCATGCACATCAAATAATTGAAAATGAATGCTTGCACATCAAATAATTGAAAATGAATGCCTGCACATCAACTAATTGAAAATGAATGCTACCGAGCTCATTTGGGTCTGGCTTTTTATAATAAAGTTTTAATAGCTTTTGTGACGTCTCTGTGTCTTTAGTTCCCAGCGAAATATTTTGGGTGCAGGGGGTGGGTTATTTATTATGTGCCTTGAAAGCTTTGTGTATCGAAATATTGTTGAAATCGGTCTTAACATCGAAACTAGCAAGATAAGCGAGTTAAGTGTTTTAATGATAATTACTTCGTGAAAGAAAGACGTTTTCTTGGGCTGGTTCTCAGAGACACGTGCACGAAATTTGGATATATTACGGACGTGGTTATAGATATTATTTATTAGGTGTCGTACTGGGAGATTTTTCGTTAAATGAAGGATTTTGAATTTAATAAGAATGCAATATTATATTTAATAAATGGAATTAATAAATTATTAAGGTACCTGGGTGCGGTAGGTTACAAGTTCTACGGCAACCTTTAGTAGTACAGTAGACTTACTTATGCTGCTATTCTTTATAATCTCAGTTACAGCCTGTTATTTTTACGTTATGTTGTAATTAGCATAATGTTAAAGGTACACTAACGTATTCTGTAAGTGAAAATGTCAAGTACTCTAACATATTGCATTTCTTCAGGGTTCGTGGATTTTGCTACAAAATATTCAGTTTTGTGGTATAATTTTGATCGATTTTATGATCCTATGTAATGTTACATTTTCGTTTTGATATTTGTTAAAGTATTTTAATTTTTCTATGAAACACAAACATGTTGGACTACAGGTAAGTTCTATGGTTTAGTATAAATGAAAATAGTTTCGTAAAGAAAACGCATATGTACCAGGAAGTAGCAATGGTACAATATTTCTGTTCTATTTCCATTATTTTTCAAAAGTACACCAAAGTCATAAATCTTGAAAATTTTTCACAAAATTCTTTCTTATCTAATAACATGTGGTAATGTTATTTTAATTATCAATGCTACACGACTTAATCTCTAGTCAATAAAAGTCATTTACACCCAATGATTAACCAAAGAAAAACATCTGTGTCCTATGCCAATATATTGTTGTCTTGTGATAATCTTGATAGTTTTCATCTTTAAGAGTTTCTATAGTAACCTCGAGTTTCCATAGTAACCTCCAGAGTTTCCATAGTAACCTCGATAATTTTCATAGTAACCTCGAGAGTTTCCATTGTAACCTCGAGAGTTTCCATAGTAACCTCGAGAGTTTCCATAGTAACCTCTAAAGTTTCCATAGTAACCTCGAGAGTTTCCATAGTAACTTTTCGTAGAATAGTAGATTTAGAAGTGTTTTCTCTGTTTTAATATTTTCTTCTTTATAGTAAAAAAATGTTTTATAATTACATAATATACGTGAAAACTCTGACTTAATAATTTTGTTTGTAGGTGTCAAATCAGTTGATCTTCACGAATGTCCAAATTGTTATCGGAAATATCAACATATTTCTTCGCTAAACCGCCATTGTAAAAATGAATGTGGCAAAGAGGGCAAAGAAAAATGCATGTATTGCAAGTTGACCTTTAAGCATAAGCACCATTTAAATAGGCATATAAGTGGCGTACATTACACTCTTCCTAATCCATTATCATAAGTAAATTACTTTTTCAATGGGTACTAAGTCTGTGTGATTTTTTAAGTGTTTTTACACCATTAATTATAGTTAATTTTTTTTAAGTAAATTAAATGTTATAAATCTAGTCTTGTAGCTTTAAAAACAAGCTTGAATAATTATGATAGGCGACTTATATCTCATTTAACATAATTTTTATATTCAACCGTTTACTAGATCCCATGATCTATATTCTTAAAGGAACATTGTATATACTGTGGTTTTCTTTCTGCATAGTCTTAAGTGAATTTGTATTTAAATTAAGTTAAATATTGTAAATTAAGAAACTTTTATTGTAGGTTTGAATGCCATTCACGCATGTCCAAATTGCAATCGAAAATATATACATATTGGTTCTTTAAGGCGACATTGTAGGACAGAATGCGGTCAAGAGGGTAAGAATAAATGCCCGTATTGCGATTTGATTTTTAAACACAAGCACAATTTGAAAAGTCATATAAATTGTCGACATAAAATCTATACAGATAATATATCAGAAATGGAAGGAATTATCGAAAAGTGACTACACCATTGACACGTTGTTATATATTTATCATTTTCATACACTTTTGTTTGTTCTCTGTATAAATAATTAAACGAGGAAAACAACTAACTTGGTTTTTATTTTTATCAACTACATATTCTGTATTTTGTGATCTATTGAAAAATTGTCTAGACTTAATTGGGTACAAAATGGGTGTATGTTAGATTCGTTAGAATCACTGGAATTAAACGAAACCCAGTCTAAACAAAAACCTTTATATTTACAGTCACAATTATTAATAAACACTCCCTTTTTTGTGTTCCTTTTTTATAGTTATTTTCCTATCGAATAACTAGGAGTTATATTCCCACTAATGTAGAGCCTAACAGTAGACGAACTTCTATGCAGATTGACTGACCTGTCAAGGTTATTCCGCTAGAGGCAAGTTTGGAAATATCCTGTGTGATATAGTCCAAAGAGGACTAGAATACACTAAAAGATGGCGCCGTGAGGTGGGACTTACTACAAACCCCACGAAAACAACAATAGACGGGATAGGTAGATAGATAGATATAGAATGGAAAAAATAAGTCAAATATCTAGGCCTAATCCTGGACAACAAACTCTGGAACATACATGAGAAGGAGGTAGTAAATAAGACGACAAAATCCCTAAAGGTATGCAGAAACATTCTAGGAGACTTACGTAACTAAAATCCACTCCAAATCCTTGAGAAGATAGGATTGGAAGGGTCGTTAAAGACATCGAGACATTTCCTTGCTGCATTAGCGACAGAAGAGGGCATTTATAACATAACATATTAAATGACGCTTCTGATATGCTTATTTCCTTCCTTTTCATGGCCGTTCTTCTTTTTCCTCTTCTTCTTTTTCATATGACTTCTGCAAACAGTTATTTAGCGTAGGAGCATGATTTTTTCAAAAAGTTATTCAGCTAAGTGGTCGACGCTCACACGACTAATCACTGAGTGGGGAACCTGTAATAAAATGAAACGGAGGTAATGCATTTATCTAAGACTACGCTCTGTGGGATGTTATAGCGTTTCACCAATAATAACATACTGCGCAGGTGCCATAATATCCTGTGAATCATTGTTCTTTTGAACATAACCCTTTTTTTGTTTTTATTTTAGTATTTAATTTATTAGAACGACACTTGCCAGTTAGTTAGTTAGTATCATTTTAATATCAGATTTTCTGTGAAGTGGTGAGAATATTAACACAATTGGTCGATGGGTAGCAAGGTAAAATTCTAGAAGCTACTCTTGGAACGAAATCTAAGTCTTCGTAGTAAATTTGGATCGCGGACCAAGTTGTTTATGAGTTTAAACAAAAAGCTAAGTAAGTTTCAGCCAGGGCAAGAGCTTAGGCTACTCATACCATGGCTCATTTCAAGTGTGCCATAAAGTATTCCAGTTTGTAGATAAACTAAATCTATTTTAAAAGGAAATAGCTTTTGATATCTCCGTTGAACTAATTGATGTTTCCGAATATATACGTAAATGTCATAGAATGGACTCCAGATAACATCTGACGTAAGCATAGTACAGAGTTAACAGATGAAAAACTAGCAAAATAGCTTCGATATGAGGAACTAAAAATAGTTGAGAGTCAAAAGCGTTGCTCAAATCACCATCAATTTGGCAAATATTTTTAAATCGTAAGCAGGTAGTATGTTACGTTATGTTGGGAATGGGATGTTAATACACTGCAAACTAAAAGATCTATTGTTTCCCCTTCTGTCGTTAAAGCACTAAGGAAATGTCTCAATGCCTATAACGACCTTTCAAATCCTATTTTCTCAAGGAAGTGTAGGATTTGGAGTGGCTTCAAATTAGGTAAATCTCCCTCTTCTATTTGATTATCTTCCTAGATATAGTGCTCTTGGATTCTGGAGTACTACACATTCAGTTAGAATGTGAATGGAGGTTTCGTCCTCCTCCTCACAGAATCTGCACTCACTATCCTCCACTACTCTTAGTTTACTAAGGTATCCTTTTAGTCGGCAATGCCCAGTAAGGATCCCTGTTAAAATACGTAGCCTGTTCTTGCTCAGGCAGATGCAGGCTTCCGATCTTTTCTGCTTATATTCACCCAGAAGTATCTTAGCCCGTCTCAGCCCCAAGAGATTGTTCCAATTATCGGTTCTTCTACTGCCCAATTCTTTTTTAATCTCTCCTAATATTATGTTACTGCTGATACCGCAGAACGGCTCAGGCCCTACAAAGGGTGTTTGAGCCCCTTTCCTTACAAGACTATCTACAATCTCGTTACTTTGTACCTCGTTATGTCCCGGGACCCAAGTGAGAGTAATTCTATTTTTCCTAGCTCATTCAATTGTTCTAGGCATCTCCAGACCATTTTTGAGCTGATTACGTAAAAGCTCAGCGCTTTGATGGCTGCTTGACTATCGGACATGATGATAATCTCTTGTCTATGATAGTTTCTCTCGATGGTAAACTGGATACATTTTTCGATGGCGTGAATTTCCGCCTGGAAGATGCTTGGGTATTTCCCCAAGCTTTCGGAGTGCTTGGTTCTTGGCCCATACACTCCTATTCCAGTTCCTTCTATGGTTTTGGAACCGTCCGTATACCACTGAATAGAATGTCTTTCGGTTGCAAGCGCGATGGATTCTTGGCTCCATTCTTTCTTGCAGCCCAGCTCTGTGGTTTTGAAGTTTCTTAAAAAACTGTACTTCTTTAGCATTTCATCCTGGGGCATGTTCCAGGTATCTCTAGTCCTGAAGCAAGTAGACTTTCGTCTGATTACTCCGTTCCTGATCATTCTATATCGTGTCCTTTTTGCCACATTCTCTATCATCAAATGTAGAGGGGTGAGGTTCAAGATCACCTCCATTGCGGCCGTAAGGCAGGTTCTCATTGCACCAGTAATGCAAACACAGGCTAGTCTTTGTACTTTTGAGATATTAGCTCTCGTAGTAGCTAAAGTAGTTCTGTTACTCCAGGCTATAGCTCCGTAAGTGATGATTGGTCTCACCATTGCAGTATACATCCATCGCAGTATGTTTGGGTTACATCCCCATCGTTTACCCTTAATGTTTCTGCATACCATTAGGGCTTTTGTGGCCTTATTTACTACTTCCTTTTCATGTGTGTTCCAGAGAAGTTTGTTGTCCAGGGTTAGGCCTAGATATTTGACTTTATTTTTCCATCCATAGTTGAGAGTCAAAAGTGTTGATCAAATTATCATCAATTTGTCAAGTAGTTTTAAATCGTAAGCAGGTAGTAAAGAGAACATCAATATTACTGATGAAGACATTGAATAAAAATGGGTCCAGAGAAGGAACTTCAAATGTTGCTAAATATTCAACAGACTTATAACCATTGATAACCTCAAAATGGCATCTATTGGCTAAATTAGAACAAAATAATTTAATCAGAGAAGTCAATCAACTTTACAGATACATATTTGGAGTCCATTAATGACTGCAACGATAAATTCAGTTATATTTGCCAAATTAGTCCTTTAAAAAAACGGGTATAAATTAAGGCCCTTACTGCTGACAGATTTGCCACTGAAAATACTGCAATAAGTGAAAAACTTTTATTATGAGGACGAAACCTCATTTAATTAAGGGCACACTGTTACATAAGCTTGAAAAGATTTATAAATTAATATTTATAGAGATGATTTCTTAAAAAGGCCTCTCTATGTGAATAAAACCACCAGGTTTGTTAAAGGCAAGCTAAATGTTTTTGAATCACTAATCATTACAAATATATTTGAAACATGGTTTCATTTTACTCTTTCGCGATTAGAACTGGGTTCCATCATTGTATTAGATGACGCTTCATAAGATACTCGTCGTTTGGAAAAACTGCTTACGACAGCGTGGAAAAAAGCTGAAGTATTCAATTGATTGAAAACTAAAAATATATATTGTACGGAGTGTTGAAAGCGGAATTACTTAGTATTGCCCCACTATACAAGGAAAAATTCATTTAAATGGTCTTTAATAATATAGCTAAATAATTTGATTGGTTTCAATATATTTAGACTCCCTCCCACCTTATCATTACGAATTAAATACAATTGAGTTGTTTGGAACTAAGGAAAAGACGATGTAAAAATACCGCTTTCAAATTGGCAGAAGCAAAAACACTTCTAAACAACGCAGAAAGTGCTATTACAGCTGCTAGTTGATCTAAATGTATTGTCCACGTGATAAAACAAGAAGATAAACTTTAAAACTTTCATCCAAGACTAGAAATATTGATAGAACCTATTATTATTATTACTAATAAGGATAATAGTGATTCTAAAGATTAACGTTTGGAGCCAACTTTCAAAGATTGCTTCTTCCATACCGACGGTGAACAATTAATATTAACGACTTTTTAATTCGTTTTTTAATGTTCTCTATTTTAATTCAATTTTTTTCAAGGTTTCGTGTTTTATTTTTGTTTTATTAAAATTTTATGATTCGTATTTTATTTTTGTTTTATTTTAATTTTTCCCATTTATACCCCCATTTAATTTGGTTCTAATTAAAGACTTTCAGGAATAAATTCCTTAAACTCTAAGGGTAAAAAACTGGAGAAAAATTGGAAAATTAAATTGAAGAAATCATTAGACCACAGGTACAATGTACGTTCCGCATCTTTATAATTATTTTAAGACATAACCCGATTTTTCAGATATTTTTCCAATTTTCCAAATCGTTGGTTCGAGTCCTGCTTAAAGAGAATTTTTTTTTCCGTTTATATCAGTTTTTCACTCTTAATAATTTTCACCTCTTTCAGTAATTTAAACCGACAAAACCTTTCAGTTTATTCTTTGTTTGGGTTATGTTTGGCTTGCATCTTCTTTTCGGTGGCCTTGTCTTGTAATCCAAACAGATACCTACATTTTGATTGGTTAACTTTGG